GAGCAGCAGCGCGTTTGCGGCGCGTCACACGCGTCAGATGCTTAAACGTGCCCGACGCGCCTGTCTGCTAAGCTCAAAAAAACCGCGCCTGGCTTGACGGAGAAACCAGGAGAACAGCTGAGCATATTTACGACAGTGCACTTTTACTTTCGCCCTCTGGGGGGAGCCTCGCTGGAAAATCAACACCAGTTGCATAGTGTACCTTTAAGAGTCATCCAGGTTTTTATGTCTTCAAGACATGCCTGTAATCTATGTAATGGATTAGCTTCATCTGGATTCATAGACAGATATAGCTGGGTATCATCAGCATAACAGTGAAAATTAATCCCATGCTGTCTAATAACTCTAACGATTGGGAGCATATATATATATATTTTAGGGATATAACGATATTGACATTATCGCGGTGGTAAACGTGTCTCGATATCGTCGTGGTTGGGTTACAATAATAAAAGGACAGGTGTCCGTTAAAAAGCAACAGGATTAAACACAGGATTAAACACAGCGGAACAAATCGTTGTTAACTACATAGACCATGATCCTTTGCGCTGCGTTGTTATACCAACCGTTCTTAAGCCAATAGGATTGCACGCGGATTGCACGCTGTCCTCACAAGCTTAAAGCAAGCTAGCATGGCCGACAGCGATAGTTGTAAGGATGAAAACAACAACCCCGAAGTTGAGATTGTGCCAGCCCCTGCAGCTTTTAAGTCAGATGTCTGGAAACATTTTGGTTTCGCCGTGTCAAAAAACGCAAAAGGAGAGAAGGTGGTGGACAGACAATGGACTATATGCAAGCACTGCCACAGGAAACTGCGATACAACACGGGAAACAAAAGCAATAAGCAAAGTCATCTGACGACTCATCATCCAGAAAAGCTTGCAGATTCTCTCACAAAGAATGTCTTGTCCGGTCAAAAGACCCTGAAGGAGGCATTTTTTTTTTCTTGAAATGTAGATCTTTTGATCTTTCTGAGGAAAAATGTGAACATAAGCTAACTGATAGGTCAGTGTTTTAAAAAAAAGGCTGTTTGACTATTTTATTTAAGTTATGTTCCTAAATACCAGTTTTAAAAGGCTGCTTTTACTTGCCTTGCACATTTAAACCTGACTTAACTTGATATTTGTTTGCACTTAAAGGGAATTCCCTATTGTTTACAATTGTTCTGGTTGCTTCTTAACTTGAACATTATTCACAGAAGAATCAACAGAATATTGATGTTCCTGACTACAACTTGCACTTTAAAAGCACTATGTGATCAGCGTTTTATGTTGTAATGATCCATAAATACAACAATAAATTGCCTGTTGACTGGCAAAAGCAGAAAAATGTCTATTTTTTTGCTATTATCATCACAAACACTATCGTGAGCTATTTGACAGTACCGTGAGCTTTTCCACAATATCGCAATAAATATCGTACAGTGAGGTCAATATCGAGAGGTAGGGCATTTTCCATCATTATTTTAGATACTTTTTTTAAAATCAGTATTAGGGACTGAAAGATCGCTGTTATATTGGGCAGGTAAAAATCACGATATATCATCAAAAAAGTTTCTTTCTACACCCCTAGTTTTAGAGGGATATGACTTTTTTGGGTTTATAGTTGTTTTGCTAAGAAATGGAGGCTGTCTGCACTATGGCAGACAGTTTTAACATATAATTGGTCGTGTACATCCATTTGTAATTACATTTTTGATATCTCAGATTTTGACTAGTAATGGTTACATTAGAATGAACCAGAATTAGAGATTAACTGAGGTAGGGTACTTAAGGTTGATGTAAGGAAAACATCTATGTGCAGCTGTGCTGCAGGTAGATGTTGCCACGTGTGTAGAAGTTGGCTCATTGCAGCCTGTGATGGAGTTCTATTTAGGCTCAAAATGGACGACCTGAACACTATCAGGACAGATCCTTTCTACATATAACCTTTTTAATCATAACCATAAAACTATAAAAGTGCATTTGCCCTTAATTTGATTTTGTAAACAAAACGATCTGCCAATCTAATTAGCATTTTCCAGCTTCAAATAAGATAATTAGATATTATGGACTTGCGGTAACGAGGTTGCTGTTTGTTTGTTTTTAATATTAATCCTCATATTCCTGTGGCCAGTTGACTTATTACCTACTGAAAGCACCGGAAAATACACATATTTCAAGAAAGCTTGAATTACTTATGTTTCTTGTTTTTTTTTTTTACGA